TCTTCTGTCTAGCGGATAACTGAAATACTCTAACTATGAATAGCACCAAGAGCATTGAATAAAGTATTGAATAGACGAACTACCAACTGTTGAAATTCCTGTTGCATTCAATACTCTACTTTTCTGAACCGAGCTTCAGTGTTTATCACATATATATATACTCTGTAAGAGAGTTCATTATATCTCTTACTCAATTCTGAGAGTAAATAGTGTGGACTCTTGAGGGGATTGTAACCTTATGGGTAGTAAGGGGGAGTGATTGAGAGAGATTCAATTACTATACTGAGGCACCAACACTTTACTCTCTTGAGCCTTGAGAACAATACCTTTGTGACTCTTCTCATTCATCTCCTTTTTGTACTTCTACTTGCTTTCATACTCTACCAGGCTTATGAATAGTGCAGCAACCGAGCTAATTGATTCTCCTTTTGTCTCCTCAATGACTGTCACTTACGGTTCCCACTCTTTAGTGAGTCTACTCAATATTTTCCTCACTTCATCCTCTTGACTATGGTTCTTGCCGAGTGTAGTGAGGTGATTGATGAGGTGCGAGAATCTCACTTCCATCTCTTGAATGCTCTCTCCATCTTTCATTCTGAATAATTCAAATTTAATAGTGAGAGTATTGATTCTGTTCTGTTTCACTCCAGTTGTTCCCTCGTGAGCAATCTCTAGTGCTTCCCATATTTCTTTTGTGGTTTCCAGACTTAAAACCTGAAAATATTCTTTTTGACTCAAGGCATAGGTCAAATATTGATTGTTTTATTATTCAGCAGAATGAGCCTTTTATCTTTATCATTGAACTCACTCAAACTTTTAGGAACTTGTTGATTGTTTATGATCTTCATCGGAACAAGTTACCATGTTTTATTATGTTCTATGAGCCGTATTCCGTAGCTTTGATGAAGATCTTCATTCTTATCTTCCAGAATGTAAAATTCTCTCAATTAAAGCCCGGTGGTTTTGTCGTTGAACAACGTTCGAATAGCACACTGTCACCAAATCCTACCATTTAGGATCTCTTTTCAGACAGTTAAGTCCTTTTCAAAGAGACCTCCTCTAATATCAAATGTTAGTGGTAGTTTCACCCAAGAGGGGGTAAATTGGGTGATATATTAAAAATCTACTTAATAAAATAAATAACCAAATAAAGCATAGAGACAAGTTTAGAAAGATTTCACTGAGGATGAACAGAAGAAGAATGACATAGGAAATTATACTGGTTCGTTCTCAACCAATTGACCTACGTCTAGCCGTTAGAGCTCCTCTGAGTTTTCCACTAATTCCCTAAGATTCAACAGGCTCTTGGTGCCTCAGTACAGCAATTGAGTCACTCTTAATCACTCTCCCTTACTACCCGTAAGATTACAATCCCCTCAAGAGTCCCACACTCTTAAGTCACTCACATATTTGAATAGAAGAATCACAAACTCTCTCTTAGAGTATATATGTTAAGCACTAAAGCTCAGGAATTAAAAACAGAGTAATGAATGCAGAGATTAATTTCAACAATTGGTAGCTCGGTATATTCACTACTTCATTTAATACTCTTCACACCATTTATAGTTAGAGATCTTCAATTTTCTGTTGGACAGAAGAGCTTGTAGTCATTAGGATATTGCTTTCGTGTGTTCGGTAATTACAACGGTTGTTCATAATAAATGCTTCTGACACTAGTAGCTTGAACCTATAAAATGTATCCATTGAGCATCGTAACCTGTGAAAATGTCATAATATAAAAATAAGTTTTCTTCTCAAGCAAATATGAATGAATAATAGAAGAAATGTTGATCCTTTGATTTAACACAGAAAATAAAGATCATTAAATCAAAAATCAGGTAAGAATCAAATTATCAAAGTCTTGATCGATAAGCCCTTAATCAATTAAGTTATCGATTAATAGAAAAGGTATCAGACTTAAAAGATGAAATCATTTATCAATGTCATTATGGATCATTCACTTTAGGGAACAAATGATCGATAAATGGTGAAATGTAGTCAAAGTGATTTTATCAAGAAAATTTATCTGAAAAGCTTGTAATTTGAATTAGGTGCCTTCTCTACTTTTTACAAGAGTATAAAATAATTAATGAAGGTTGAGAAAAGCTTAAAGATAATATAGCATAAATTTCTATGAAAAACATTGTGAAGAACAATTTAAAGAAAAATGTTTTAAGTTTTTGGTGCAGATGATCGATAATCATTTTATCAAACAGATGATTGATAATTTAAGTTATTGTGGAAAAATACTTTAAACACATTAATCTGAAACATTATTGATAAAGACTTGATTGAACAAGTTATTGCAAAAGCTATTCTAAAAGATTTAGACTGATTTAGATAGAAAACCATAACATTAATCTATTAAATGAACGATAATTTAATTATCGATCAAGTGATTGATTATTGACTAAGAGAAATTTGAACTGAGTAAAACAAAGAGGATTTGATCAAATAGCTGATTGATCAACCAAAAAGAAGTTTTGTCAAATAATTCTAGGACAAGTTATCGATAAGTGAATGATCGATAAAATGATTGATAAACCATAAAACATTCCAAACAATATGCGAGTTGAAGAGACTTACCAATTATCTGAAACATGATCGATAACTTCTTAATTGATAAGGTGATCGATTACCTTATCAATATTGAGAAACTTAACCCTTTTACCTGATAGCTCATCGATCATTTGAATTATTAATCAAGTGATCGATAATTTCCTGATAGTAATCATATTTAAACAGTTTTACAAAGTTTGAACAGATGATCGAATAGTTTATTTATCTAACAGGTTATCTAGCACAGTAATGATCTAACATGTTATCGATAAACACTTAACAGTATTTGAACTCATAATAAATAGTCATTTATCTAATATGTTTTCTATCAACCAATGATCCAACACATGATCCAACAAATGATCCAATAGATGATCAAATAAAAGCTTAATAGTTATGTAGAGAAACTTACTATTTATCTAATGGCTTATCAAAAAACCTTGTTTATCAATCAAGTAATTGATAAATACTTAATAATAGCACTATTCAAAGAAGTTTAGCCATTTATCGAATACGTGATCGATACATGCATTTATCCATAAGGTTATCCAAAAACGCATTTATCCATAACGTTATCCAAAGACGCATTTGTCCATAAGGTTATTGATAAAACCTTAATAGTAACTAAATTCAAAGAAACTCAATCATTTATCTAATACATGATCGAATACTCTATTTATCCATAAAGTTATCGATAAACACTCATCAATAAATATATGCAGAGAAGTTTAACTATTTACTTTGTTATCATCAAAACCTTAAATCTAACACCCTTTGTGTTCTGATGACTCTACATGTACCCAACTCCACCATAGCCCAACTCTACCATTGCCCAGTGTTGCACCACTTGTTGAAGCCATTGATGTCATGATAGATGAGTAGATGACCTTGACTCGCATAGTTTCTATTCGCCACTACCTTGTTTATTGGACTCGCATAGGTTCTATTCGCCACTACCTTGTTTATTGGAAATGATGTGCTAACTCAAATGCTACATGGCTCACCGAGGATGAGTTTCAACGTCTAGACCCGGCTTTCTTGATGAGTAACCACTATCTAACTCTCCAGTGGCAAGTTGTTCCCACCTGAGGGGAAAAGATGCAAAGACCTCCATTTAATCCATTTAATTTAATTTATTTTCATGTTAATTAATTATTTTATTTTAATCAGTAGTGCATAGTTACCTCCAATCCCCACTCCTCCTTATTTTCATTTTTAATTATTATTTTAAGTAGTTTACTTGTTTAGGATATATACTGTTAGGTTTTCACTTTCACAGTAGAGTTGGATATTGATTTTGCAGACAGTTATTTTCCTTCTCAATTTCTCTCTTTTTTGCTCTCCCTTCTATCTGATCTCATCCCTTCCCCTTTTTGTCTTGTTCGTTTCACATCACTTTTCTACAAATATCAATCCAAACATAAATTAAGCTATACTAACTAACTTTTATCCTAATACACTTCTGTAAAAATCAGATAACACAAAAGCTACTTTTGCCATCACTAAGCTAAATGCACCCTATATGTCATTCTAATTAAAAGAGTGGGGTCTGGAAGTAAATGAGGCGTTATGATTATAAGGTAGGTTAAGATGACTAAAGGTTTTGCGGACAGTAGGGTCCTGGAGGTGAGAAAAAATAATCTTTATAAGTAGATAATTTCTTTCTGGAACTTTGAAAGTTTATGATCAGCATAATATTACTAGATTAATTTTGTCATTTTTTTGGGGGAAAAATCTATCATTCTTTATCATTATTTATAAAATGGGAAAAATTAGAAAAAAAATTATCATTAGAAATTTAATTGGTGAGAAGTAGTTGATAAATTTTTATACACACTGAGTATTGGTACTATGTAAATTAAATTTGATGCGCACAAAGTACTTGTCCTCTGATTTAGATCCTTTCTCACAAATTAGATTTTCAATTGGGCACCTTTATCCAATTTTTTCTAGCCAAAGTTTATGTATTTTTCTTTTAGAATGTTCAAATTTTTCCCAATAATGCACATTTATAACTTTAATTTAATATCTCTCTTAAAATTATCACATATGTTCATATAATATATACAGGTATTATTTAACAAAATTCATGTAATTTTCAATCATTTTACATCTGAACTTGTTTTTTTTTAATCATCCAAATAAGTTTTAACTTGCAAACTAACTCATCAATAATAAAAGTCAATTCAAACATAAACCACAATACACTAATTGACTTTTAATTTATTCTAACTTAAATTTGTAAAAGTCAAAAAGTCATTTTTGTCACTACTAATCTAAATACAATTTTATTTCATACGGTACTACAACTCAAAACACATCAAGAGAAAAGCAAAAAAAAGAGGAAGATTGACGCTCTATCGCATCAACATATCGTCATGATCGTCATTACCATATAAGAAGTGTTGACATGATTATGAATTGCTTCCAAAATCATTAAATTATTTCTTTTGGAGGATGTTCTTGAACCATTGAGTCGACACTTTATAATATCTTTGATTATTGTTTTTATAATCCACAAAGTTGATTCCAAAACGCACTGTATATCCGTTAGCCCATTCAAAGTTGTCCAGTAATGACCATGCGAAGTATCCTTTTACATTGACGCCATCCCTTGTAAGGGTTAAAAAAAAAAAAAAAACAAAGAAGCAGAAGTTAAAAGAGGAGAGAGACCTTAAATTCAATGAATAATTTAGGATGAATATCATTTTTAGTATCTGAAATTTGATCTCATTTTGATTTTGTTCTTAAAATTTAAAATGAGTATGTTTTGATCCATGAAACCTTGTTTCAGGACCCAAAACACTGTTTTAGGATCTAAATTTTTAGACGAACCAAAATGATGAAATCAAATTTTAGAGACCAAAATCAAAATGAGATTAATTTTAACAATAAAGATGGTATTAACCCAATAATTTAATAAACAGAAGTCATCATCACTTACTTAATCGCAGATTTAAGATAATGAAGATGGCGGAAATAGAAGTCAATTCTAAAAGTATCCATGAGGGCTTCCTCCAATGTTAATGTTGGATCATTATATTCATCAACACCTACATATAGTACAGAAAATAAATATCAAGGAGATCATGAATTAAAGTGTGAAAAACAAATATATATGATCCCCAAGGAGAAAAATAATAAGAGAAATAACGAAAAGTAGAAGCTTATCCATAAGTACCATTTTCAGTAACGTAAATTAGAGGATTGCTATACTTAGTCTTCACATAGAGCAACAAGTCTTTAATTCCTTTTGGATAAACAAATAGCCAATCAGAGGCAGACTGCAAATATATACAAAATATAAACACATTACCTTTCGTCAGACAAAAATACTATATTTATGAATCACACAAAGTTATTGAAGGTGGGAGTGAAATATATGGCGCGATTACCCACACACCTGTGGACCAATGGGTGCGCCGCCGTTCCGCTCAGCTGCACAAAATAATTAACAAATAGGTAAATACAATAAATAGAGACATTGAAATGAATGTTATAAAGTGTCTTTTGAGTTCTTTAAACTTAACACTGATAACAAAAAATATTAACATTAAGATCCATATTATTGGTGAAGTACTTGTAAGATTTGCATGAGAATCAGTTTGGTAGGCGGGTTTCTGAGCGCGGAGGGTATGGGCGGCATAATAAGCAGTGTAGTAGTTGAGTCCTAGAAAATCAAAAGAGCCTTTCAGAAGCTTCGCTTCTTCTGCTGAGAATTTAGGCAATCGGCTTCCCACTAGTACTTGCATACTCGCTGGGTACTTCCCTGAATTCAATGGCTCTATAAACCTGCAATAATATATATTTCCAAATAACATGCTATATATATGTGTGAAATATGTTTTTAGATGATTTTTTGTTTGGGAGAATTGCAATAAGGTTCCAAAATCACAAAAAAGTGACATAACAATTAAGCACTTATAATGACAGGTTTTGGAGTAGGATATAAGAATATGTTTTAGCTGCTCACTTATCATTAGAATTTTAAGATAATTATCTTCCTTAGCTTCTTTAGGACCTGAAAAGCAATTTTCTCAGAAAAAAGAACATATTCAACAGAAAGTGCCATAATAATTGAGTATTTGCAATGACAAATTTCAAAGCAGAATATAACAACATGTTTCAATTGTTCACTCATCATTAGAAGTTTTCGATAATTATCTTCCTTCTTTAAGACCTCAAAGTAGTTTTTCCAAGAAAAGAAAATATTCACAATTAAACAAATTTCAGAACAGAATATAATAATATATATGCTTTAGCTGCTCACTTTTTATTGGAACTTTTTAGTAATTGTCTTCTTTTTTTTGGACCTCAAAATAGCTTTCTCAAAAAAAGAAAATATTCACAAAAAGGTCTTACAGTAATTGAGCACTTATAGTGGCAAGTTTTAGAGCAAGATATAATATGTTTCAACTGCTCATTTGTCATTGAGATTTTTAAGTAATTATCTTTCTTGGTTGAAATTTCACAGTAATTCTCCCTTTTGGCTTTTTTTTTTTTTTTTTAACTACATCAATTACTACTATTACATACATACCATCCGAACATAAAATCAAGGGCTCGTTGAGCGGCATCTTGGTCGTCGTTACTCTCTGAAAAGGGTACGAACCAGTGGGCCACCAATGTTATGCCGATAATACCCTTCTGGGATGCCTGCATATGTATAAAAATCAAACACATGTATGCATCTTTATTAGTTAATCGATATGCACAAAGAACTTGAGAAAGAAGATGAAATGTGAAACTAGTAATATGAGATGAAGTGTTTGATATATATATATATATATATATATATAAGAGACATAATTTGTTACTTGATGTTGCTCTGAGTGTGTGTGGGTGTGTATGTAATTTAATGTATTAAGGTGATGACCTGAAACTTGGACTTGTAGATTTGGACGGCAGATGAATGAGCAAGAAGCATGTTATGAGCAGCTAAATAGGGCTCGACGGAGGAATCACCGTCGATGCAATTAGGGTTAACCCAAGAAGAACATCGACCTGGTGCAAAAGTTCCCAATGCATACCCGCCATTGCAATAACTCCATGGCTCATTCAGTGTTATCCAATGCTTCACTCTGTCCCCAAATTCCTTGAAGCATAGCTCCACATAGTCACTGTAGTCTTTCCTGAAAGAAAAACAGATGCGCACACACTCATTCATTCATTTCACAATTATATATACACATCCATACATACACTACCTTCGGTTTTTTTTAATATAAAAACTAAAAATTAATTTATAAATATTAATAAAATTAGCTAAGTTAGTTATATTTTGTAAGAATGTCTTAGTTTTCCTAAACTACTACCCCCGGTCCTAATTATAAGATCTCGTTTGCATACTACAAACAATGTCTTATAATTAGGACCGGAGGTAGTATCTTATTTATATATGTATGTGCAATTAATAGAGATATTCTGGGCAAAATATTACTACCTCCGGTCCTTAATATAATAGTTCGTTTGACTTTTATTTTGGTCCTAAATATAAGACTCCAATCTCCTCTGTCTCTCATATTTATCTGTTTTTTTAAGGTGATCCTTATAATAATCATAGTTCTAGCCAATATACTTTGATTGGTAAAGATATTTTGGAAAAAAACAATACATATTTATTACAATAACTAGCTTAACTAGTTTCATTAATCTACTCAAATTAGTTAACTGGCTCTTATATTAACGATTGAGGTAATATAAATTTTGAAAACAAAGTGGATTGAGATATTATATTTAATTAAGATCAAATTGAACCCCATTATCTAGTTCTTATATTTAGAATTACATAATTATGATATATTATGTATAATTAATTATTTCTTACTTACACAATGTCATGGCTCAAGAAACCGCGATAATCATCCTCCAGAGCTTGTGGAAGATCCCAGTGGAAAAGAGTTACAAAAGGTGTCAGGCCTGTTCGTTCGTCAATTTTTGTGATTTGGTTATCGCAGCATCATATCAGCATCCATTTGAATTTAAATAAAAAAAATGTATAATTAAAAGGCTAAATTATATAAAACCTCCTTAAACTTTTTGTCATACATAAATAACCTTCCTAATTTTTGAAACTTATGATAAACCTCCTTGAACTTTTACATTTATGCATAGATTTAAGGGATATAAAATTGATTGTTTAGGATTATCTCTATAGATTTGAAAATTTAAGAAGGTTTATCGAAAATTTCCAAAAGTTAGAAAGGTTATATATATAACATAAAATTTAGGAAGACTTTGCATAATTTAGCTTAATTAAGACTTATTAAGATTAGATTGTGACCATTAGCCAATAGCTCGTCGATGAGGTCGTTGTAATATTTGATTCCGTCTTTGTTTATACCTCCACTTAGCTTTCCCTCTGCAAATGTTTATTTTTTATGAATATAAAATTAGAAAACAAAATAAAAAATGAAACTCAAGCCCTCGGAAAATTTCAACAAATTATACAAATAGTCTTGAGAAAAATCTAACTCACTTGGCAGTATCCTCGACCAAGAAATAGAAAATCGGTAAGCATCTAAATTCATATACTTCATGATCCCAATATCTTCCTATATAAAATACAAGCGAACAACATCAACGTATAATAAATTATGGCAACAAAAACTACAAAATTAAATTGATGGAGATTTCATTTTTATTTTGTGAATCCCCTAATCCCATTGCATTCGTGTGACGTTACTGATGAAACATCGTGGTCCCAATAAATAATAATAATAATAATAATAATAATAATAATAATAATAATAATAATAATAATAATAATAATAAATAGAGTAAATTTATTATGTTTGATAAAATTATTCTGAAAGTCCAAATTTTCATAATTAGTATTCAACCCTCATACCTTATAGCGATGATATTGGTCATTGGCCACGTCTCCATTGCTCCGATCCGCTATTCTTTCTGTCCGCCAGTGAATAAAATAGGCGTGTATGAACGTCATTAGACAACTGATTTATTTGACTCTTGAAGCTTATTGTGAATTTTTAAAATTAAAACTTTTTTTTTTCATTTAATGAAGGGTTTCTCCTTTTGAGGTTTAGAGGATAAAGTGGTTTTGCCTCTCTCAACAAGTATGTTTTCTAGAATTTGAATTTGCGTTCTCCTCTTTATAGGGATGAGACTACTTATTACATCAATCAACAGCTTGTTGGTAAAATTAAAGCTTATTATCTGTGAGCAAATTGTACAGGCAAGGGGCAAAAAAAAAAAAAAAAAAGAAAAGGAGACGACAAGGGGGGAAATGGTGAAAGTGATGAGGCTAGAAATAACATATGATAAAGTGCAACAAAATCTTAAAAAAGAAAAATTATCCAGCCACCTTCCTTCCATGCATTTACAGATTTTGGCCTACAAGACGAGCACTTCATTTCTAATATGAATATATATATATATAAAATAAATTCATATAAATAAGTTATGAATAGTAAAAGTTACCTCAAAATAAATGTAGTGTGAAAAGATAAAAAGTTTTTTTTTTTTTTAATGAGAGGTAGAATCATAGATATGGAGTATGTAAGAGTGAAGTTTCATATACAAGTGTCTAAATTTTGTATTTACCAATTATTTTTCTACTTTAAAAAATAACACACGCGCACACAAGCTCTGAGATCAAATTACGACTTGATGAATAAAAAGGGTGTATTAACTTTTGGCTTCCAGGCAATTCTTTATAATAAAAGAGGTTAGGCACGAGATTAATATTTAAAGAGACGGAAAGAGACCTGGGTATTTGTGAGTGAACGTATCCCATATGCAGGGTCCTCTTCCACCTTCTTTTGCTGCACCTTCGTACTGAATGCATATGAATTAATCAACCAAATAATTTTGCAGATCATCCTTACTACATGGACTCTATACGAATTATTGCAAGTCGTATTATTTATGGCCTTTGTGGACTTAGACTCCGTAGAATGCCAGGGTTTCGTATATAATTGGCCATACACAGAGAGAAGAAGAAAAACGATGAAATTAACCAACCTGAAAAGAGGCTGATGCAGTGCCGAAAAGGAATCCGGCCGGAAAACAGCTTCGATTCACGGAGTAAACATCGAGAATCGGCGAGCTTGTTGCATCCGCGCGGCCCAAACTAGATGCGGATATGGCCAGAGTAAAGATGAGCAACAATAATACCTTCTTCTTTGCAACCATCTTCATCGTGTTCCTTTGTGCGTCGTCACATCTCAATTGAACAGAAGCTACATATATTCTATATTTATAGCCAAATATTAAAAAAAAAAAAAAAGGAACCGCTGCATGAGCGCAAGTGTCGCTGGGGCAAGGAAAAAGAGGAAATGCAATAGTGAGGAAGAGTGGGGTTTGGCCAAATAGGGGGGGGGGGTTAGGTTAAAAGAAATTACTACCTCTGATGTTTAATATAAGAGCTAATTTAACTTTTAATTTGGTCCTAAATACATAAGACCCCAATCTACTTTGTCTTTGATATTTATTCATATTTTCCAAAGTAGTTATTGTAATAATTACACATGTAAAAGGTTTCCTAACTAATACACATGATTGGGAAGAGTATTTTAAAAAAGATAACCATATTTACTGCAAATAACTAACTTAACAAACTTTCTTAATTTACTCAAATTAATCAACTAACTCTTATATTAAGGACTAGAGGTAATATAATGATTTCTCTACTTGTTGTTTTACCAAAAGTCCTACACAATTTCAACTTAATTAAAAAGGATTAAGGCGTAATTTTGTACTTAAAGTTTTTAAATGGAAGCTATGATTATTTAGAAGTTTTTTTAGGATTAGTGTCACCTAATCATTAAAAAAATAATATTGAATATTAAAAAACTAACATTGATTGTTATCATTTTTAACAATTAAGGCTACATTACTCGATTTTTTAACAATTTTGGGGTAATATTGATCCAAGAAAAATCAGATATTCACAACTCCTACGCAAAACCTATTGAGGCAAAATTGAATTTTAATCCTTTAAAAAAAAAATGCAAATGAGCACATTTTCGGCACTAATTATTTTAACAACCGGTGCCAAAAGTCTTTTATATATATATATATATATATATATATATAATTCCAACTTAATTGCAAAAATATGTCACTACCACACTTTTAGGTTTTGGCATAGGTTCTTGGAATATTACTATAAGGTCCGAAAAAATGGATTTAGTTACCAAAAGCTTTCAATAATAAGTAAGCAGTCTAAATGTGTTATATTTTCTACTTTAGAACTTGTTATTACAAACTCTTCAGTTGTTAATGGATTTTTGGATAATTAAATATCCTCCTTGGGACCTAATAGTACTTCTCTCTTGGTTCTTTTTTAACTGAGGTGCAAAGTATATGCACGCAACAAGTTCAAAACAACTTCTAGAAATGTTTCCAAGGTGTTAAAAGGAAACAATAGACTTCTGCTCAAATTATTGCTCATCTTACGATAGCATCAAAATTATTATCTGTATTAGGGGTGTTCATGAGACTCAAAAAGCCGCAATACCCACCTGAACTCTGTGAAATTATGCCTAACTCAAGCCTAAAAAACAGCCCAAACAATAAATGGGCATTTTCAGGTAGCACCAAATGTCGAGCAGGGCTAGGTATCGGGCAAAGTATGCTGCCCTGACCATTCAACTCTGTCCAGAGTTTATATATGTATGTATATTTAATATACATACACACACAAATGTAATATTCATATATGATAGAATTATATATTTCAAGATTTAAATTGTTGATATATTTGATTATGGATGTTGTTTGAAAACCTACTATGTTGTGTATTGTTTATATTATTTCTTCTCTTGAAATATTCTAAACTGTGAAATTATAAAAAAATTTAAAAATCAAAATATTATTTGCTAGGTTTGGTGAAAATCTCTATATAATATGAACAACGCAACAGTACATCATCACTTAAGATGGGCAGGGAAGCCCACGTCACTTAGTCCTGCCTAGCCTTGCCCATGCAAAGTCCTAATTTATATTTACCTATACACGTATATGTGGTATCTTTTTCTAATTCTTTAAACCATTTATGAACGAAAATTTAATCTCAGTTGTGCCTAATTAATCCAAATTTCCATCTAAATAAATTCAGACAATTTTAAACAACATTTTCAGCTCAAATTAAATTTTCATCTTGATTATTTTTGTTCAGATTTGCGCAATTGCTACTTGCTTTATCCAAGTCTATTAATTCAAGGTAGGTTTCATCCTAATTTTCTTAGCTTGTGCTCTTGTAATTGGACAACTTGGTATTTGCAAAGAATATAATCTCTTAAACAAGAAGCACTTGAAATAACTTACTATTTACTACTGCCTTCTTTAATATAAGAGTTAGATAACTAATTTGGAAAGAATAAAGAAATTAGTTAAGTTAGTATAATTGTAATAAATGTGTATTGACTTTTTTAAACCGTCATCTTTAATCATGAGATTGGAATCACCTTTGGGTAGGAACCCCCTATATTAATAAATAAGGATATTTTAGAGAAAAGCCTATAAATTTGGGAGATAATGTGAATTAAAATCTTATATTTAGGACCAAACCTAATCCTCCAACTAGCTCTTATATTAAGAATCAAAGGTAGTATTTAGGATTTGTCGAAACTTTAAGTAGCTTATTACCAGCATACATACGTCTCACTTACATATTTATATATCATAGGGCAAACTTCTAAATACCGTCCTAGAGGCTTACATTTTGAAATCATTCATCTAACATTTTGAAATCATTCATCTACCTGATTTGGCTCCAACCATGCTTAATTAATTTGGTTTAATCATGCGAGTTATAGCACATAGCTCCCCTAAAAACACTTGTTCAGAGGCAAACAAAAAAAGATATATTTAATCCTTTATTTGTTTCATTTTATCAAAAAGTGCATGTTATTTGACTGAAAACCTTATTTTTGGGTGAAATTTTAAGACAATAAAGGAGAAAATAATTATTAAACTATTTAAAGGTTCAAAAAATTGAGAAAAAAATTATAGATATATCTTAATAATTCAAAAAGTTTATGGAAGTAATTATTCTCTGGAAAGAGCTATAAATAATTTTAAAGTTAATTTCTTTTTGTAAATTAAAAGCATATTTTCTAGAAATCTAAAGAAGTAGTTAAAGATTATCGTTTGACCTAAAACTTTTAGGAAAATTATTTCACAAGGTGAAGTAGTTAGTGGAGGACAAAACTATTTGTAAAGAGATCCCAAATAATTTCTGAAATTATTTGGAAATTTAAGTATTGAAAGATAAGGATGGTGAATTCACTACCTAAACCCATAAAATAAAACTAATCCACGGCCAAGCCCAATTTGAGGAGCCTAGGACATGCTAAACCCAATCCAAAATTGAGAGGCAATGTTGAGGTGGGTCCAAGGAAAATTGGAAAACAGGCAATACAAAGTCTAAAGCTTACATAGTACTACCTCCGGTCCTATTTATAAGATTTTATTTGTAGACTACAAATGAGGTCTTATAATTAGAACCGGAGGTAATAATTAGCTTGCATGTGGGACCAAAAAAGAATAAAATAACTTCTTGATGAGAAAAAAAAGATTAGGTAAATAGTTTTTAACCATTAGTCACCTAAGATAGAATTGTTGTGAAGTTTGTTAGAATAGCATTATAATTAGACTTACTGTATTATAAATAGACCACATGGACAATTGTATGATTTGGTTACTTGTTAATTAAGTGTATATTATTTAATTCTATGTTCTCTTATTTTCCTTTGCCTCTGTACAATCTTTGTTTTTACTTCTAGTTCCCCACTTCAAACCCGCTTTTTCTTCAAAATATTATTTTCAACACTAGTGGTATCCAGAACTAGGTCTCCTTGGCAATATTCATAGATAACACGTGGTCAAGAAACAAGAAATATGGAAGAAAGGCCATGAACGATTGGGTAGAAGCTTGGTAGTGACAATGAATTACAAGAAACAGATATTGGTTTCAAACAAGAACTTCACAATATGGTGTGTCACATCAAAGCAGGGGCCATTATGGTATTGGAGACAATGCAAGCTCAAGAAATCCTAAAGAAGGGGTAGAAATGGCCATTAAAAGCCTACCCAGTTCACTAATATGGAGTTTCTAAGGTTACCTCCATCGTCAGACATGCTTACTTTTACACTCAATTATGAATTATTTTTTTAAGTTTGATGACACTCCAAAAGATGTGAAAGTAAAGATTATACCTATGCATGCACTAGATGATAAGACATTCCATTGCACAAACGTAGATAGTGGGGTCAGCCATTAAGATGGAAAGAATATGTTGATCTTCTTAAAAAAAGTTTCTCATCTTTGTACTAGACATCCATGACTAACTTTACCCTTCTATGCCAAACAAAGACTTTAAATGAGTTCAATGCTGAGTTTGACTTAGTTTTAGTGAAATTAGACCTCTCAATAGATTACCTAGTTAATGCATACATGTTGGCCGTGAAGGAAGGCATTAAAGGGCCTGTGCACATGTTGTTTACTCTCCAAGAACTGTGAGAGAAGCAAGAAGACTTGTAAGGATCTAGGAGATCACCCCCTCAATATAAAGCATGAAAAACATGTTGACCAATCCCCTACACACGTGTTTGTGACAACCTAAATGGCTTCTTTTGCTCTGAACACATTGACTAACTACAAGAATACTCTTATACTTCTCGGATCCCACTAACGAGATAAGTTCATTAATTGAACTTAATTCTTCTATATTATTTCATATCATTTTAAGGGTTTATACTAAGTTTTATAGGCTCATTTGCATGTAATTTTGTATAATTTAGATTTTCAAGCTTAATTTGGGGCTAAAATTACCATAATTAGTTATTAATTATATTTAATTGATTTTTAGGGCAGTTGATACTTCAAAATGTTAGTTTTCATTGCAGGATACTTGAGAATTGGGGCCAAGATCAAAGATCAAGGGATTACACAACACAAGAACCAAGAAGTGGCTCTCTGTGCAGTTTACTGGGGCAAAAATGCATTTTGACCACAAGAAACTTGTCATATTTCGCAACATAACGTTTTGGGCTTCAGATTTTGTTAAATATGGATCCTACTCAATTTTTTATTGCTAGACCTGACTTCCTCTACATAATACTTGAACTCTAAGCTATGTTTGATATCTTCTACACCTCTCTTTACCCCTCTTCTTATCTTCCCATCTCTATTTTCTTCCTCCTCCATTTTCTTCATTTCTGATCACTTTCCTCCATATCCAATAGTAATAGTAGAAGATTCGTTCTCCTTGGTGCATTTTCAGAGGCTATGTGTAACATTTTGAGTTTTTAATATGTGGTTTGGAGTTAATTAAGATTTGATTAGCAAGAAAAATTGAAGTATTGTGTCATTCAAATTGGAAGTTTGAGGCTTAGAAATACTAAGATATATGGTAGGAGGTGATGTCTCTAGACTTTTTTGAGTGATCTTGGAATTTGGGTATTTTTAAGGGCTAAATAATCTTACTTTTGAGTGACTCCTTTTGACACATCCTACCTTTAACCCCTTAGAATGTGCATTAGTAAGTGTTATGGTTCAAGCAGGTCAAAATACAAGCCCTTGGATTTAAAATTTCAACATAACTACTCGGATTACTGTTCACTGTTTAAATTCAAATTTCAGGTCCAATTTTGAAAAATCATACCTAATTCTACAAAAATTGTATCTCCTTGTGTACACATTCGATTGAGGCGATCTACCTCTCATTTTAAAGCTTGGGATGTGTACTATAGCTTGTCAAAATTTCATAGCTTAACTCATTCATTTGATAGGTCAAACTGGAGCTACAAACTCACTACTTCATGACCTACGTTTTATCCCATAACCTCTTTTTACGTTAATTCTTTTTATTTCTTTGGCATACATAAATTGGGTTTATGCTTTCCCAATCATCCTCATACATTTCTATTCCTCCCATAAACATTGTAATTAAATACATGGCATTATTGGTATGCATAACATAGATTACAAAATAGGAGAATTATACATTGAATAATAACATCATTCATTGACATCAATAATTCTCCACCTTCTTCTCCCTGCCTCTCGTGCCATTATTGACCACCATTGATTGACCTAAATGGTTGGTTAGGGAGGGGTGAGATTTAGGATAATCTCAGTAGCAAACACTACCCATAAGCATGCAAGACATAATGCAAATGCATGATATGTTATAACATTAACACATGAATGCCATGAAAAGTAAGCTAAAGCATTTCATGCTTCCATAACATATTGCTAAGGCAAAACATAACATAAACTTGCAAACATAACTAGGCAAATATTTCATCATAACTTAGTCACATTATGGCAACACAACTACATCATGCAAGCATACATATCAAGCACACAATATAGATAAGTTTACTACCTTGTAACATAGCTTTCCTCTTGCTTTTCCTTTGATTCCCTTGTCTTTCCAACCTTATGGATTTTTGGTCAACACCATTAAACATCCTCTTGGATGTTTCAAAGTCCTAAACATATCAATACATGATGTAAAACAATTATTAGAATCAAGTCATCAACTTATCTGTACTTGATTCTTTCTTGAACATATTTGAACTTTAACTTTTGATTTTCAATTCCAACCTTCCTAAAATTATTTCCACATGCAATTCCCACATAATTTTGTATATAGAATCCATTTCCAAGCTCAAAACAATCAAAATCCAATCCTAACCATTTAGAATAGTCAAGGCCGAATAGAATCACAAACTAAAGGAAAGTCAGATTTCTTGTAAAATCAACATAGAACTACTTGATTCTTGTTATTTCCAAGCCTTTAAACATGTTTCTAACATTCATTCCATCCTTTTCTATTCCAATAAATTTCGTGCAGCACCTCCCCATAGGATTTCAATCATCAAAAATCCAATCAAACCAACCACCAACTCAAAAATAACAAGGGAGGTAGAAACTACATCAAAAACGGCACACATACCTTGTTTTAGCGCTTGATCTGGCTTGGGATCACTTGGCCTTTCTTTCTTCCTCTTCTTTCTCTCGCTAGAAACCATTTTACAAGAGCTTCCCCATGGGTTCCTTGTGCTTGGACGAAATGGAGGGGTGGGGAGGGGTATTTATAGAAAACAAGATCAAATCTCGACCGTTGATCTTAAAAATACGTAGCTTGATCTGGACTGTCCATTTTCTCTTTTTATCTTGTGATGACACGTGTCCTATGACATCATGCTTACCTCATCTTGATGACATCATGCTTACATCATTAAGCCACATGTCTTTAATCCAACCACACACGTGTCTTGCATCCGACCGTACACGTGTCTTTCATCCAACCGTATACATAATACCTTCTTTTCCCATCTAACCGTACACTTGTCTCTTCCATATTCTTTCATCATTTTGGCATTAAAATAGAGAGGAAATTAATATAAAATTCGTGTAAAATATAGTCCTTAGGTATTCCTCTACCTATTTTGCCATTCTGCACCGTATCGAGTACTTTTTTGAGTCCTGACTGACCCAATACCACTGGAACATGTTCTGGCACCATTTTCTCATCTTAATTAAGTACATATATGGTGCCATCTTAGAGGAGCATAGATAAAAATAATTAGTTTTACTGACAGGCTACTTAACCTTATTGAGTCACACAGTAGAGATTTCACTATAACAGGTAGACAAAGGACTGTCTAAAATATTCCCCTACTGCGTTCTGATTTTTATGCTGTTCAAAAATATCTTCTGCTAACTCAGCATGATGACTCGTAGGTGTCATGATTGCATTTAGTGACTCGGCATGCTGACTCAGTGTCGTCATGATGGTCTTCAATATTTTCTTTCTCCTTTTCCTAGAAATATTATTAAATAATACTTAATTGGGGTTACCTTCTTTGAATTCTTTCTATCAGCTCGTAACTCCGTTGATTTGTCTTTGGGTTCCATTCTTTCCCTTTCATCACGGGAAATTCCTTTAATTTTTCTCAGGTCAAAAGTCAAACTGTAGACAGCTATTTTGACTTTCCCCAGATATGGTATAAATAGGCTTTAAATTTAATTAAGGCTAACCTTGTCAGTTTCTGGGGTCGGAATTAATTTTACAATATGTGTAAATTCCTCAACTACTGTTCCCCAGTTTTTCTTGATTATTTGAGGCCGTCTCATGGCTTAAATAATTCAATTTAAGTTACTATCTCAAATTATCCAAAACCCTGGAATGACTTTAGGGCATTCCCATCATTTCTAGCTTTATATCGGCTTTGGGATCCTATTCCCATTTTTCTAGAATTTTTCTAAGTCATTTGGGCCCTTTTTGCTAACTCTGAGCATTGGCCAACCAGAACTTTTATTATTTACAATTAGGTCCCTACTTGGCCTAGGAATCTCTTCTTTGCAATTTGGTCCCTCCTTAGGCCTAACCTTTGGAACCATCTCTTGCAAGTTTCTGGTATAACCTCTGGCCCTTAGTTGTTTCTAGTTCGTCATTCTTTAGTCCCCAAACACTATTATTTTACACATTTGCCCTTGAAAAATGTCTTTTTCCTTCCGAGGGATCTCCGGGACTTTCGTTGCATTGGACTTAGTAATCATCCTTTCCTTGTGCTATTACTTGTATCTATGAGCCAAAATTTAGGATGTTACACCTTTTATATTAAAAAAACAGACATCTCAAGCTTTTTAAAGAGACATATTTTGTAATTTTGGAGATTCATAGAGTTAGTTATAAATTTTTGAAATAAGATATTCTGGTCTATGTCATTTCCTAGATGTTTGTTATAACAAACGCATCAAAAGCTAGTATTTAAAACTAGATTTTAGCTATAAAAGAAAAAGAAGGTAAGAAGAAGGGTTTCGGATAGGCTTTGCTAGAACAAAGATTTTTGACCCATTGGAGGTGTTTTTAAGCTTTCTAACACTCGAGTAAACTTCCTAGATTTGATTTCTACTCTTTTTTCTTAAATTTTCATATCTTTGAATAGTTGGATCTTGATGTTTCTTGACGATTTTGAATTGGATTAAACTTTGACCAGTTAGTTTGAGTTTAAATGGTTTATGTGGGTTAGATTAAGTGTTTAATAGGTTTTTTATATTTGGAGTTTTGAAGATTTTTGAGGTTAAAGTTTATGATTTCTTGAAGTTTTGATGGTTAATGATAATGTGGAGATTAGAAATCAGTTTTGATGATTGGGCTATGCTAATATGAGTTACGATTAATGATTAATTAGTTTAGATTGTTGATAGAACTTGAATTACTGAAATGGGTATTTTTGAGGTTAAAGCTTAAGTCTGAAATTGGGATTTTTACACGAATTATATAAGTTGAGCTTAATGGATGACTTGGAGGGTTATTTGAGCTACTAGGACTCTAAGTTTAGTATTAGATGGATTGATTTATGGTTTTGGTGAGATTTGAGTGCTTAGAAGGCCAAGATCTCTAATTGTTATACACAACCACTCAAGTAGCTATGTTTTGACTTTGTGGTTGTGTTATGTTACGTAAACTGTTTGTGAGTTGTGGCTTCAACCTGAGGATTCTTACAGTATATTCTTCTTCTTGTTTCAATGATAGTAACCTGTCATTTCTTATTTTATTACCCAATTTTACATCAAGCGGAAGCATTTGGAACCATTTCCCAAGTCACTCAGTTGAAGAATTTTGAATTTTTAAATTTATTTTCTCAGGTAATTTCACTGTAACCCTTAATTTCTCCAAATTTTAAAAAATCATAACTAATTATAGAAAAATTGAATGATATGATTTCAAGTCCTGCTTAAAGCTTGCAATGAGCTTTTTAAGGAAAAAATACGTTCACAGTATGAATCCAGCTCATGTGTGCCCAATTTCAATGTTAAGGTATACTGTTCATTTGGTCATTTAATTTAACTCCAAATTTTTATAAATTACCACTCATTTTAAAGCTAAAAATATAATTTATTAGACTGCTAAGTTTCAGATCCAAACCCCATCAATTACTCAAAATTTTGGGTGGTCAAACATTGCCCTTAATTTGGTCAACTTTCATCCTTTTTATGTAAAACTTACCAAAATAAACCATAACCACTCCAAATATAATTTAGTCACATTTTACTACATATAACAAGTAATTCTTCATAATTTACAACCCATAAAAGTCATCCAACTGATTTTCAAAAACTGTTCTAGACCTTGGAGGTTAAATCAAAATTTTTATCTAAGGATTGCACTACAGGGTGCAACCTTGGGTCAGTTCACTTAAATAGAGCCTTAGTGAAATAGACCTAAGCTAATTTAAATGTCATGCAGTGCAAACTTGAACATAAACAGGGGGTTTTGGTTTTTCGAAATCATTAAGTGAATTGAACTGAATGATAAACAAAATATTTTTAGATTTTAGGGAAATAAGCAATGAATGATGATAAACAGATAACCAAACAATGATGAAGATCCTCTTAAAAGCGTGCTCAGGCTGTCATAGTTCAAAATCAATTGATGTGGGAGTAGAAATCACTAAGTTTCAAATGATAAACCTTAAAGTACTCTTTAAGTCCAGAATCTTAATCAATGAACTCCATTTCTCAAGATCCTGTAAAGTGCTCTTAATGTGTGCAGAAAGATTGATTAATGCAACAGGCCAAATGCAATCAAAATCAATTCAATATCAAGACACAACTGTGTAAGAGTAGAGACAATCAAAAGATCACAACTGACATACATGATACTTCATATATTTAAGCTCAAAAGATTTAAGCTCAAAAGTTCTACAATAATCAATCTACTACACAAATGAATATCCAAAACTGATTACTACTATAATCAGGTAGTTCAACTACAAATTACAAATCTTAAACTTAGAAATTAATAAATTTATAGCTAAACTAGGATTAATCTACTTCCCTTCTTAGCTTATTGAACTCCAGCCATTGCTACACCTTCAAGAAGAATGAAAACGCCTAGCCACACATAAAAATCTAAAGCATCTCAACTAGGAATGAATCTGAGCTTCCTATGGTGGAGGTTTGACAGTGGAAAATGAAAGCAATTAGGGTTAGATGAGAGAGAGATGAGAGAGAACGGAGATGGAGGCTGTGGTAGGAGTGCATGATGTCACTTGCACAAAAATAGGGTTTCTAAACTGGTAATGAGGTGTACTAGGTCGGTTTGTGTGAGTGGGTAGGTAAAATTTCTGAAAATGGTTCGGGTCTGGGTTGCTGATTTGAGGGGTTCGTCACGGTGAAGGTATGGTTTCGCCGCGGTGAACCATGGCTGAGAGCACTCCTACTTGCTGATGTGTCTTCGCTGCGACCAACTTCTAGGTGGAAAATCCTTGCTTAGCCACAACGAAACATGAGTTAGCCGTGACGAAACCTGGCAGAGCGTTGTTGCGTCTTATGTGCTGCACTTCCTTAGCCTTCGCTCTTGGCTCTCCTTCTTGATTGTCCTAAAATAAAAAGCAATGGTTTAAGGTATCGATTGTTCCAAAAATCAATTGAATGCAATTAATGAATAAATATGGTAATTTTACCCTCAAATAACACTAACTCAAAACAAAAATTCTCAATCTCAATTAAGTACAAATATCATTAAAATGAGCCAAAAAGTGTAACAAAAACCTAGAAAATGCCATCAAATAATATAAACAATTTGAGCTCAATCACCAACATGTACCCATAAATATTACAAAACCTGTACATAAAGTTCCAATATGATTCCATAGCATATTTCCTTCATAGAAATACTATCTCCTTGCTCTTGGCCATATCACTTGAGGGTCCTATTGGTTGTTTATACATAGAGAGAAATGAGATTTTATAGAAATTTTAGTAGCAAAAGAATTACAATAATAATGTCAAGCAAGCAAGGTAAGTTACAAACAAGTTCATAATCATTTATTCACATTTATGCCATACAAGTATCAATCCAATCCATTCCAAATCAACATGTTAATGTATATTGCCAAGGCATACAATGCAACCAACTAACATGTTATCACCATCAAATAATTTCAATACAATATGGTATATATTCAAAGAATCATATTATGTGACAACCAAGCGAGTTAACATCAAGATTTTAAATTCCATGCTACCTCTTTTCAATCCACAATTTTTGGCCTCTTTGATTTTTTTGGGTTCCTCCTTGTTCTCTTGCTCAATGCCTATCAATCCAAGTATAAACATATTTCATATTACCAATAATCCAAGCATAAATACCATTATTCAACAATATACTCAATTAAACTCTTTTTCCTTGATTTTTGACATAATTGTTTCTTCTTTGTTTCAGTCAATCTCTTGGGCCATCACCACACAATTTTTCATGCAAAATCCAAATATAAAATTAGATTTAACAAAATCATGCTCCTTCCCCCTTAACTTGCTTTGGCCGAATAGTATGCTTTTAGGGATCCAAAATTTCTATTTTTGATTCTAATGATTTTAAACACTTTTCCTTGGTGTTTCCCTACACAAAAACACCTTCTAAACTCATTAGAATCATCAAATCATATTGAAACAATTTCTAAACCTGAGAATTCTTAGCGGCTAAATAGGGTGCATAAAACCCTAACTTTGATTTTCTTCTAAAATTCAATCCAAACATCAATTAAACATACCATTCCAATCTCATATTCATGGTTTCTATCCTTTCCTAATCCATTCTCATTGTGACCAAAAATTGGACAGCATGTAGACTGAGGATTTGTCATGAAATTTCAGCCAAAAGAACTCTTAAATCTAATCAAAATCAAGCTTAAATATACCTTAATAGATCCTTGCTTAATTTTCCCTTGCTTTGAAAGGTTTTAGGTGCTATTTAAAGTTGAGATTTTGGTTGGCTGAATTTTGCATTATTTAAAGGGGTATTTATAAAGGTCACAAGCTGACATTAACCCCCTCGAAATGCCTCGTTTTCTGCCACATAAGGGGATATGTGGCCCTCTTCTCTAACCCTTGAATTGTAGCTCATGCCAAGTGTTCCTTCCTTTTTATTTTTCTTATGTATTTTGGGCTTAAATTGGGCTTGAACTCTCTTGGCAAGAGGAGCCATGGGTTGTACAAATTTTGTGGGCTTCCTTGGCTCAAATAAAGTCCAAAACTAATTAGAGAAGAAAGAGAAATGTGGCCCAATCATAAATTATCAATTTCTAACCAAAACCCACTATATTGGTTACTATTTTCAAAAATAGTTCTGGGCCTTTAAAAATTTATTTCTTCACATAAAAAAAATCCCTTTTAATATATAGAGGTCTTCTGAATTTTTTCAGAATTTATCTCAACATCTAACTATTTATTTTGAATTTTCTCCAAAATCAGGTTTCACCAATAAGATTTCGGTAATGAATATTCTAAAATTAATTATTTCACTTTCAGAGCCTGAAAATAATTTTATAAACTCAAATAAATCCTTAAATAATTTTTCCATAGTTTTTTTCAAAATTATTAAGGCCTCTGCATATTTAAAATAATTGTTTCTAGCTAATTTTTCACCATCTTTTTTCGAAAAACCCCAATTTATAGAAAATTCTGTAGTAAAACTTCTAATTTCTCTTTTTACCATTTTTCAAAAAAATTTCTCTAATTTTCTCTAATTTTTTCATTTTTCCCTTCTTGGATCGATAATTTCAAAAATATTAGTTAGAACAAAAGTCAGATCTCAACTCAAGAGTTGTTCTGGTTCAATCTATTTTACTACTTGACCCTTTGTCTAATTTATTATTCACATTTTCAGGGTCAGAATTAGAGGGATGTGACATAGCCACTTTCTACTTGTTGTATATGTTGATGTGTGCTTATGAGTAATTATGAGAACGTATATTTATATATGATTTGAGGACTTGTATAATGGTATTGATATGATATTTACTTACACTTGACTTATGGGAATTGTTTTACTTGAAATGAAAAAGTATGATATGGGATTTGAACTTATATGAATATGCATTTATAGATCAAGTGCTTTATGGCTATCTTATGAAACCCCATTATTTTTTATATTGCAAATAGTTGAAATGGTTGGTTTTGGTTGTTAATGGAGTTGGTTATCCTACCAGATGGTAAGGCCCCCCCATTGGTGCATAATAGTTAGCTCATTTTCTATCCCACTAGTTTAATGAGAGGTTGTGACACCTCATTTAAATGACAAGAAAAAGACCCATGGTTCAGTTGTGTGTGCTGAAAATTTTAGATAGTCCTCATCAGATGACCGGTTAGTTTTCGAGTGCTAGTAACATTGATAGATACTTAGCCTATGGGTGTAGTTAGTAGGAATAAGGCAATTCGGATAGATTGATGGGAGGTATCGAGATAATTTCTATATATTAAGTTATGGATAATGATGAATTGATATTTGTGTAATTATTAGAACACATGCTAATATGCATGATAAGTTGGAATATTGGTTACTAAGATGATTGCCTCACCCCATAGTTCTCAACATTTTCAGGTAAAAGTTCTAGCACCGGTAAATTAGAGAAGGTTTCGGAAGCATAGAGTGCTATGACTTATTGTATGGCGTCTCTCTTTTTTATTATGTGTTGATATGTTGTACATTGCCACCTAGGGCTTATTAACTCTGATTTATAACTAAATACTTTTAATTAACTATTTTTCTATAAGCGTACTAGTAGAAGGCCAGAGGTTTCTAAGATTATTGCATGCGATACTTTTGTTTATACCATTAACTTTTGAACACTAGAGTTCTATAGTTTATTATGATAATATTTACCTGTTTGGATGTTTAGAAGTATGATTTTATGATTGGGCCTAGGGTTAAATGTTATTTCTGGACTTCAAAAGCCCAAAAATGTGGATTTCTTATTATGGTTATTTTAGTTAATCAGGGGCGTGTCTTAATTGTAAAACCATGTTAGTTGGGTAGAGTCTATCCTCACATGGGATGCTTGTGATGTAAGTCAATTTTTTTTAACCATGATAGAGGTCTTCATGACTTTAGGGTTTATTTTTTCCTATCATGGTTAACTTTTCAAAATAGTCATTACAATTGAGTGGCTAAGGTTCCTAATCTTGAGGATGGTGATAGTGGCATGAGTTTCCAAGCTTTGAAGGAGAGTCGTTTGTTTTGATCCATTTATTTAGTTATAGATTTATGATTATTCACTTTGAATGGTTGTAGTTTGTGACTGAACCTTAGTTGCTTAGATTAAGTACTATGGATTAATTTTGTGATTTGGATTGGTTAATGTTGAGTTTCATACTTTAATATATGTGGATACATATATATTTTATTGTAACTCTTTTGTTTCTCTGTTATCTTGTATGGTCATATTGTTATTGAGTTGATTTTGAGTTATATTAAACCAATTGCATTAATTATTCTCAAATTTCACATTAGGAGAGTTTAACAATGTTTTTATTAATGAGGCACATTGATTTAAACATTGTACTCAATGGATCATTAAAGTTGTTATTCATGAAAGCCTAACGAATTTTATAAAACTCTCATTATCTTAAGTAAACTATGATTGCTATTAAAACCGTTTTGAAGAGATTTCCTATCATATATTTCTCTTTGATAAACAAATACCAAAAATATAGTGACTTAGGTTTAATTTCATTCGCTTCATCTAGTTATAGTTTAAGTTGCTTTTGCAAACCAAAACCCATTTTATTGTATTTCATGGCATCTAGTTAGCTTAAGACACCAATAAAGGCTCCCAAATGTGAATATGACCTCAGGTTGCACTATATTATATCCCTTGGTTAATTATTGATTAAAAACCTCAAGGCATAGCATGACAAGGCTCTCATAATCCACTTTCTCTTTGTTTGAAAATTCATCTTCTTCATCCACAAGACCAAAGAACCCATGTAACATTTGACTACAAAGGAGGAAGTAGAAAATACATTTAAAGAACCTTTGTTTTTGTTGTCATGAAAAGTTTGTTCATGACCATAATTGCTCACAGCACCAAAAATTGAAGCTTTATTTTGTTATCTTGGAAGAAAAAGAAAGGCTAAGTATGATGAACCTGAATTGGAAGAAGTTGATAGTGTAGAAGGAAGCTCTTGTATTTTTTTGCATGCCATTAAAAGGGTAGATCATGCTTAATCTATAAGCGTTCAAGGTTAGTAGGAATGCATGTAATTCAAACCCTTATTAATAATGGTAGCATACATGATTTTATAGACCATAGGCTTACTAAGAAGCTAGTATGGGAGGCTGATACAAATAAAGTATCTTTGGTAAAGTCATCAAATCCTTATTGATAATGGCTGCACACATGATTTTATGGACTTTAGGCTTACTAAAAAGCTAGTATGCGAGGCTGATACAAATTAAGTATCTTTGATAAAGTTATTTGGTGGCAAGAAGTATAGAGTATATGGGATTTAGAAGGATATCTGTTAGAAGATGTAGGGATAAGAGTTTATCTTTTAATTTATAATTTTAGATCTTAAAACATATGATCTAGTTCTCGATTTGAAATGGCTTAAAAGCATTAAGAATGGTTAGACTATGAAACTCTAACCATGTTTTTATGGTCTAAAAGAATATTGCAGAAGCTGAATTGTGCAAAGCAAGAATTGAGGCTGCTCACTTGAAGTAGGATCAAATGTTTCTCTTATAACTAGTTATGCTAAAAAGCAAAGTGGTATAGTATTTTGCTATTACCAATTTATGAAGGAGTTTTAGATTACTTTCAAGAGATTTTTGAGGAATTTAAGGGGTTGCCTCCCTTAAGAGAGGAACATAACCATGCAATTGTCCTTTAAAAAAGGACTAACCTAATCATTTTGAAGCCCTATTGCTATCCAGTAGCTCAAAAAGATGCGATTGAAAATATTATAGATGGATTACTACAAAACGGAGTAATTCAAGGAAGTTGTTCACTTTTTTTAGCTCCTATAAATTTTGTTAGAAAGAAAGATGGGATATCGAGCAAGTGTGTAAAAACTATTCCCTTGGAAGATGACCTTTTTAATAAATTGAGCACTATAAGATAGTTCACTATATTGGATCTTAGATTAGGATACCACCATATTCACTTGGTGCTTGAAGATGCACATAAAATAGCCTTTAAAAACCATTCGAGTCATTATGAGTGGCTAGTCATGCCTTTTAGGTTAACCAATGTATCGGCCATATTTTATGGAGCAATGTGTCACACCTTACTTTTATACACTATAGTGCACGAAAGCATTCAGAACCATATTCATTGGCCTTCAGGTTAGAAAATCAAGTTTTAAAGTTTGACTTGTATGATCACGGTTCACTGCACATTTCAGAATTTGGGGGCCAATTTTGAAAAATCATAACTAATTATAGAAAAATTAAAACAGAGTGGTTTCAATTTTCACATAAAGATATTTCAATTCTCTACAAGGAAAAAATAACAATCTAGACTTAAACCTTGCCAATTCCTACAGTTTATTCATCAAAGATTATAGTTCATTTGGTTAAAACAGTGTTTTCCAGAAGTCCTGCCTCAACTTTGAACAGCCATAACTCTTAGCATACACATCCATTTCACATGATCTATCACTTTTTTTAAATCTCAAGATGTGCTCTAAATACTTACCAAATTTCATGGCAAAATTCGTCCATTTGCTTTGTCTCATCATTGGCACCAATTCGTGGCTCATTTAGAGACTCTCTAATTCCCTAACTTAATTCAACATTTTCAAATAAATTCATTTCTTGCATTTGCCCATGTTGTCATTACATTTGCTATTTCCATATTACATACCATAAACATTTTAAACATCATCGAATATGCATGACATGATTATAACATCAACTAACATAATAGTTACATAACATAGCATGTTATGGAAACATAAGACATGCTTGGTTTCTTCCCTTTATCTTGCACTTCCACTTCTTGATTTTTCCTTCACGTTTGTAGCACCTATTAGGGGTTGTTAAGGGAGGGTGAGATTCGAGAGAATTTCAATAGAAAACACTACCCATAAGCATGCAAGACATAATGCACGTGCATGACATGTTATAATAACATTAACACATGAATGCCATGGAAAGTAAGCTACAGCATTTCATGCTTTCCTAACATATTGCCAAGGAAAAACATAACATAAGCTTACAAACATAACTTTGCAAACATTTTATCATAGCTTAGTCACATCATGGCAACACAATCACATCATGCAAGTATACATATCAAGCACATAATATAGGTAAGTTCACTACCTTGTAACATAGCTTTCCTCTTACTTTTCCTTTGATTCCCTTGTCTTTCCAACCCTATAGATTTTTGGTCAACACCATTAAACATCCTCTTGGATGTTCCAATGTCCTAAACACATCTATACACAATGCCAAACATTCATTACAACCAAGACACCAACCTATTTCTTACTTGGTTCTCTTTTGAATATAATCGAATTCTAACTTTTGAGTTTTAATTCCAATCATCCTAAAATTATTTCCACATACTAAACCCACATAATTTTACATGTAGAATCTATTTCCAAGCTCAAAACAATCAAAATCCAACTCCTTCCCTCCTATTCTGGTTTGGCCGAAACATAGGTTCCTTATGTCCAAAATTTTCATTTTTCATTTTCAGTTTTAATGCTTCCAAACATGTTTTCTACATATATCCCTACACAAAATCATCATTTAAACTTATTGGAAGCATCAAAATCATCAAATTCTAGACCCATCATAAATTTCCAGTCATGGCAGAAACATACACAAATGAAAGGGGAAGTTGGATTTCTCCAAGAATCAATATCAAACCACTTGATTCTTGTTGTTTTCAAGCTTTTAAACATGTTTCTAACATCCATATCATCTTCTCCTATTCTAATCAATTTCATGCAGCACCTCTCCATAAGATTTCAATAATAAAAAATCCAATCAAACCAACCACCAGGCTCAAAAATAATAAGGGAGGTAGAAATTACATCAAAATTCATGAACATACCTTGATTTTGAGCTTGAACTTGCATGGTTTCCCTTGCTTTCTCTCTTCTCCTTCTTCTCCTCTCCATTTTGGCTTCTCCCCTCTTTCTCCTTGGTGTGGCTGAAACATTACACAAAAAGGGGAGGGATGATATTTATAGAAAGCTAAAACAAATCCTGGCCGTCAATTCCGATTCGATCTCGGCTGTCCATTCTTTCTTCTTGAATAAGTATGCTTTCTCTCCAAGAAATGTGACACTTGTCTAGGGTGATGTCATCTTGCTTGTGTCATCTTGATTAGGTCATCAAGATTAGTTAACTTAATCCAAGATTAATTAGCTTAATTATCTTGATTAAGCTTCTTAATCATCCTCTTAAAAATCCTTTCTTTCAATCCAATTGTGCCCTTCACATTTTTGTATAATTCCATGCATATCCTCTTGTCCATATGGCAATGTGATAGGGAGGAAAAATTATATAAAATTCATGTAAAAAATTGCCTCAAACATCCCTTCACCTATCTTGCCGGTTTACACTGTAACGGGTACTTTTCAAGTCTTGACCTACCTGATATCTCTGGGACATGTTTTAATACATTTTTTTACCTTTGAAATACATCCCTATACTCCTCTGATAGCATTTATAGGGAAATGATATTCCTTTCTCCTTTTCCCAGAAATATTATTAAATAATATTTAATCGGGGTTACCTTCTCCAACTTCTTTTTATCGGCTTGTAACTCTATTGATCTGTCTCTAGGTTTCATTCTTTCTCTTTTATCATGAGAAATTTATCTAATTTTTCTCGGGTCAAAAGTCAAACTCTAGACAGCTATTTTGACTTTCCCCGGATAAGGTATAAATAGGCTTTAAATTTAATTAAAGCTAACCTTGTCAGTTTCTGGGGACAGAATTAATTTTACAATTTGTGTAAATTCCTCAACTACTATTTTCCAGTTTTTCTTGATTATTTGAGGCCATCTCATAGCTTAAATAATTCAATTTAAGTTACTATCTCAAATTGTCTAAAACCCTGGAATGACCTTAGGGCATTTCGGCCATTTCCAGCCTTATATCAGCGCTAGGATCCTATTCCCATTCTTCTAGAATTTTTCTAAGTCATTTTTGAGCCCTTTTTGCTAACTCTGAGCATTGGCCGACCAGAACTTTTATTATTTACAATTAGTTCCCTACTTGGCCTAGGAATCTTTTCTTTGCAATTTGGTCCCTCCTTAGGCCTAACCTTCAGAACCATCTCTTGCAAGTTTTTGGCATAACCTCTAGCCCCTAGTTGTTTCTAGTTCATCATTCTTTAGTTCATAAACACTATTGTTTTACATATTTGTCCTTGGAAAATCTCTTTTTCCTTTCGAGGGATCTCTGAAACTGTCGTTGTATTGGACTTAGTAATCATCCTTTCCTTGTGCTATTACTTGTATCTATGAGCCAAAATTTGGGATGCTACACAATGATTTTTTTTTTAGACTTTCTTAGAAAATTTGTTTTAGTGTTTTTTTGATGGCATATTAATATATATAGTACTTCTCTTGCAGACCATTAAGAAGACTTAAGGACACTACTTAGGATTCTAGAAGACAATGGTTATTTTGTCAAGAAGAGTAAATATACCTTTACTACAGCTACTATAGAGCATTTAGGCCATATTAGCAAAAAGGTAAGCTCAAAGGCACCAATAAATTCCAATTTATGAGAAAGAACTTATGGTAGTGGTATTAGTTGTTTTGCATTGGAGGCCATATCTTGGGAGGTAGAAATTTCTTATAAGAATGTATTAGTAAAGCTTAAAATATCTTTTGGGACAACACTTGAACACTTCATTTTAAAGGTTTTGGTGCCCAAGCTAGCTATATTTAATTATGATATTCAATATAAGAAAGAAAATGAAAATTCAGTAGCTAATATACTATCTAGAATGTCAAGATCAATTAGGGAATTGATGATTTTGTTTTTGCTCTCTTAACAAGAGTGCAACAAGCTAATGGGGATTAGAAAATTTTCATGGGATGGTGAGTTGCTAAGGATAAAAAGAAAGCAGGTTATTGGCAAGGAGATGTTTCTTAGGCAACAAACCATGAAATGGCTTCATTTTATGCCCTCTTGTCTATTTTCTGCTACTACTTCTGCCCCGGTTTTTATGGGTTAAATTTACAAGTTACATGGGACACCTACTAAAATATTAAGTAATCATGACTGACTATTTTGTAAATAATTTCTAGAAGGAGTTTTTAAGCAAATTGAGAGTTAGTCAAAAGCTTTCCTCTACTTCCTATCCTTAAACGAATGGTTAGTTAGAGGAACTTAATCGCCGTTTGGAAATTTACTTAAGGTACATGTGGTGGGAAAGGTCAAAAGATTGGCGTAATTGGGTTGCACAAAAGTTGAATGGTGGTATAATACATCGTTCCACTTAGCTACAAAGTGATAACCACAAGACTGATAGAAAATTTGCTATTGGGTAGTAGATGTTTCTTAAACTACAACCATATAGACACATTTCAACTACAGCTAGGAGTTCATAAAATTAGCTCCTAGATACTTCGGTCCTTACAAAGTGATAGGAAAAATAGGGGCTACTGCTTATAGATTGGAATTGCCTTTAGACTTATAAATTCACCCTACTCTTCATGTGTCACTATTAAAACCATGTCCAACCACTTCTATGCAAGCTAGACTTCCACCACCTGACTATCTTGAGGTCCTCCAGTATTGGTTCTAGAAAAGATTTTAAATAGAAGAACTAGAGGAAAAAGAAGAAAAATTATTATAGAAGTTCTTGTTCAATAAGGGGGGGTTGCCGCATAAAAACGTATCACGAATGCTACTCTTTCATTTTCAGCAACAATATCTTCATTTTACAATTTTAGATCCTCGAGGGCAAGATTTTAAATATAAATAAATTTAAATATTATAAAAGATTAGGTAAACAATTACTAGTCATTAGTTACTTAGGATAGAATTTCTGTTAATATTTTAGCGAAAAAAAACAAAAAAAAAGCAGATTTCACGTGGCATCCAACTAGCATTAACATCAAGGAAAAAAAATGAATACCTTGTCTTCCATACAAGATGAACTGATAATTTGTCTGAGTTCTTTAAATGAAAGCAGGCAATATAAAAGGAACATAAATCTTGGTTACATTCAATATGTTGATTCTTTTTAATATGTTTGCGTGTCTTTTGCTTATCGTGGACAAAGTCGTTCACATTGTCCCCATAACACAACCACTATTTCTATAGGAGATGATTTTGCTATAGGAAACAAAATTGTTTTGACGATTCTTTTAATTCTAGTTGGAGTGGAGAGGAGCATAGGTTTTGGAATCCACATTTGGAGTATTGGTTAAAGGAAATGACCTCACCTTTCCACTCTTATCCGCGTGTTGAGGAAAACATCTAGGAGTATATGAAAGAGTCTTGCTCAGAAAGAGCATTTGAGGATTTTATGAACTCATCAACGGAACTGGTGTTAACGGCCCTAAGCGTCGGATCTGTTGGAATGGCTGAACACCCAAGAGGGGGGGTGAATTGGGTGTTGGTTAAAATTAAAAATCTTTTCGCAATGTAATGAAATTCATAAGAAATTCTGAGTATAAAAACAATGAATCGAGATAAACATAATCGCAGTAGTAAAATGGTTTAGCTGGAAATATAAAGAGGTAAGGGAAGAGAAGATGCGAACAGTGATTTATCCTGGTTCGGTCCTCACTGACCTACGTCCAGTCCCCAGGCTCCCCCTGAGATTTTCAATCGACTATCTCCCTCAAGTTTAACACGGGTACTTGAGAACCACTACAATCACAAGTTTGATCCGGGCACTTGTGACGCCGCTTACAATTCTTAGACTAACCAGTCTAATTCAACAACAACCTCACACCGAGGTAATACTCCCCCTTACTCAACGTAAGGATACAATCTAATAATGATAATGAAGATTGAATATTTCTTCTCTCAAAGAAGTGATAGATGAATCTTAAGCACGTTTGGGAAACTCTCCTCTCTATCTTACGGATACATATGTTTTCGTCTATGGAGCACAGAGACAGGGAGTTTTCTTTCGGAGCTCTAAATGAGAATATATTGATTCGGCATTTTAGCATTTGATGTTGTAAGCTCGGACTCTTCTCTTCCTTTTTGTTTTGAATGCTCTTCTATTTATGGATGATGTTGGGTACTTGACCGTTGAGCATTTTCTTCCCGTTTGGCTTGAAGAATATGACCGTTGAAACTAGCCATTGGAAGCTTCTGACGAAAGTCGATTCTTCACCTCATAAATTCGTTGTGGCTCTTTACCTGAAATAATCTTCCTCAGATCAAGTGATAAGTATCTGATAATCTTAGAAACAATAAGTTGGAAAACATGGAATCAATCATCAGATCTTCAGATATTCAGAAAGTAAGATAAACTTACTTAATCGATGCCTTGATCGATAATCCTTTGATCGATCATATTATCGATTAATTATATGAAGAAAAGATATAGTAGATATATGCAATTATCGAATAGGTTATGGATCATGTGATGATCGAAGAAATGATCGATAAATGATGAAACATGAACACAGTGAACTCCGAATGAAATATGCAAGGTTAATCCCTTTCAAGTTTTGTTTGCCTTCGTGTCTTTTCGATAAAGAGTTATATGTTAAAAGAACGCTGAGAAAAGCTTGAAAGAAAATAGATCATTGATTTTAAGAATCATCATAGTCGACTGATGTTTAAACGGAAGACGTTCCATGATCGAACAAGTGATCGAACACTTGTTGATCGAACAGATTATCGATAATCCAAGTGTTACAGAAATGAAACTTCAGTCATTGATGATCGAACAAATTATTGATAAATGGATGATGGATAAGGTTATTGATAAACAAAGTGTTATAGAATAGAATTTTAAGTAATGATTTTCCGAACACATTATCGATAAACAAATAATAGATAACCTTATCGATAAACAATAAGCAAAAGTATATTCGGAGAAAACACATGCTATGTAGGTTGATCGAATAGGTGATCGATTAATGAGTGATCGATAAAGTAAAACAAGGAGATTTAATCCTGTAAATTCAAAGAACTGATTTATCGATCACGTTACGTGAAAAACAGGGTAGACATGTAAGAGCAATGATCGATCATATTATCGATAAATGACTGATCGATGAGGTGATCGAAAAAATGATTCAACATAAGTTAATGCAGTGGAGATAATAATCGATCATTTGATCGATAAATGTTTGATCGATCAATTGATCGATAAAAGATTTTGAATGAATGGTTTTGACAGAGCACTATATTGAGTAAGAAGACATGTAATATTTGAACAAGTTATCGATAAAGGTTTGATCGATTAAGTGATCAATTATTTCCCGCAACATCTTATATTAAGCGGCAATACCAATGATCGATTAGTTGATCAGTTGATCGATCAATCTAGCAAGTTATTGAGCAGACTAAATTATCTATCACGTGATCGATAAAACCTTGACAGTTATCGATTAGGTGATCGATAAACATATTCACCAATAACGTTATCCAAAAATCATTTATCCAACATGTTACTGATAAAAC